CAAACATTCAGAATATCATCTTTGACATCTTTGACACTAAAGTTCACCGTATTTCCTGCAACTGTGCGTTTACTTGCCTCTGTGGTTTGAAAAATTACCAGGAAATGAAAAATGAATACTTTCATATAGATCATCTTATTTCCTCTTTTCTTATTCACTTGAACTCTGACTAATTTGTTATTCACACTGAAACGTCGCCCGTAAATCAAGGTGAAACCCTTAACATGACAATTAAAGGAAATCAAAAATTGCATTTTAATTCTCAGTTCCAAACAAATACTTAGTGATGCTTTTTGTGGTTTTTATTACACGGAGCAGTTTTTCTGCAGACTTTCTACAAGACTGAGGCAGGTTTGATTTTTAGAAAGAGTATATATATATTTTATCACGATGTATAATTTCTTCATTTCTCACCAATTTCTTAGTGACAGCGTGACATTACAGGTTATCACTCCAGAGATGGTGTTACTTGAGTCGGAGCGTTTGGAGAACTTGGGTCACTGAACTTCAAATGTGTTTTCTTACTATTCCTGAAAGGGCAGCGACCACTCTTCTGTGAAGACCAGAGTGCTTATCTTAAAGTAATCGCTCAGATAGACATTTCAATTTCTGCTTTAGAGCAAGCTCCAATGGAAAATCCAAAGTTATGTGAGGACGTTACACAACTGATCAAAGTCAGATGAGACAACACACAGTAGAGAAAATTAATTAGATGTTATGGGTAATTAGTGATTTATTGCCTCCCTAGGAACTGGTCTTGTGTCAGTTATCAATGCTTTCATTACGTCATTTCAGCAGAGGCAAAATGAACAGGATGAAAATCAGATCCAGGTGTGTGTGTGTGTGTGTGTGTGTGTGTGTGTGTGTGTGTGTGTGTGTGTGTGTGTGTGTGTGTGTGTGTGTGTGTGTGTGTGTGTGTGTGTGTGTGTGTGTGTGTGTGTGTGTGTGTGTGTGTGTGTGTGTGTGTGTGTGTGTGTGTGTGTGTGTGTGTGTGTGTGTGTGTGTGTGTGTGTGTGTGTGTGTGTGTGTAGGAAACTGAACAAGAACCCAACTCAACAACTGACAGGTGCGCTGACCGGCACAGGTGTTGCTGTTCCTCTTAATTGGGTCAGTTAAAGTCTGCTCTCCACAAGAGAGAAAAAGAAAAAATAACAAGACGTCTGGTGTGTATTCCCAACGAACAGATTTTTGACAGGCAAGGTCACTCTTTTTTATATCTTTTTGTATTTTTGCGAGGGCAGAATAAAAGTTAGTATTTTGAGTTTCACTCCATAGCAGTACGGGATTTGTTTTGGTGTTACTTTTCATTTTGATTAAGCTCATCAAGTAAAAAGGTCACTTTTGCATAAAGAAAGATTACATATATTGTGGCGGCCCTGCCACTGATAGGCCGGCAAGGCCGCATTGCACTCTGGGGTTGTATGTTTCGGTTTGGAGTTCACGCTGTGTTGTTCTTATCAAATCAAAGATACTTTATTAATCCCAGAGGGAAATTAGAGTTTCAGTACACACAATTCAGATCAGACATACATGGGCAAGACACATGACAAGAATTGGTGGCTGTGGTCATTTGCAACCCTGAGTCGCACTACCTTAATGGAGATAAGAGGGTTACATGAGGATTGGTTCAGGTGGAGGGAAAAAAAGGCACTTCAGAGTTACCCTCCACAGGGAGGGCAGCTTTGCTCTGCAAAAAAAACCCCACCTCAGACAGATATGCAACAGACTTCAGACAACACAACATAATCCTAGTTCCATAGTGGGGTGGTGGGCTGGGACTATCCTAGCTTCAGCTCCTGCAGCCACGATGAAGCAGAGCATGTCACCTCAGTGTGGATGGGGGGGGAGCATTGAGGGTTGGAGGGTTGCAGTGAACCTGGATGCTTCAGCGGCCTTCCCGCAGTCTTGCCCAGGCTGGGAAAGGGGGCAGAGTTGAGTTGCCATAGCGACGGCACATTCCACATATCTTCTGAGGGGGGAGTTTTCATTGGAGCCTTGCAGGCTAAAGGACGCCAGATTCCGATTAGAAATTGTTTTTGGGCCAGACAGAGATCATTTCCTCTCTGTCTTACAGTCTGCTGGTCCTCACCTCTCCAAATCCCAATAGTAATGGACGTTAATCCATCCCAATCGGTGCTGATTCGTCCACTCTCTCCTTGATGGCATCCATCTTTTTTGTCCCAAGTCCCAAGCTTACGAATCATCTCGATAATTATGTGAGTCTGTGAATTCACAGCGTGGTGCAAACCATCTCTGAGCTCCGGGATCAGGCCAATATTCCTCGACAGCTCGTTAATTTTCCGGTAAGCCAGGTAGCCTCCAAGACCAATGAGCAGGAAACCTGACACCAACACCACGAATATCCACACGTCTTCAGAGTCCTCCACAGACAGCTGAGATAAACAAATCAAGTTCCACTGTTTCCAGGAGTCCAAGATGTATCCAACTGGGTCTGTACCGGCAGGACATCCGGAAGCCCCTTCCCCCGTTCTCATCGTTGAAAAAACAACCTCCTGGCTGGCTCGCCATTAAATGTAGCGGAATATAGTTGGTAAATTCTTTACACTTTTATTACGTCCAGAGATTAATCTATGAACTGGGCCCTTATAATCAGAAGAGGTTGTTTTTACTTCAGGGAGTTTTATTCAAACACTTTGTATTAACTTAGAGACAAGAAAAGAGAGAGTTGGGATCGTTTAAGAATCTTTAATTTCTATAATTATAAATTCAAACAATCACCAGGACTAACTCCATATGATGGATGCATATGGATTTGAATGTTGATGTGTGTGTGTGTGTGTGTGTGTGTGTGTGTGTGTGTGTGTGTGTGTGTGTGTGTGTGTGTGTGTGTGTGTGTATGTGTGTATGTGTGTATGTGTGTGTGTATGTGTGTGTGTATGTGTGTATGTGTGTATGTGTGTATGTGTGTATGTGTGTATGTGTGTGTGTGTGTGTGTGTGTGTGTGTGTGTGTGTGTGTCAGTTCAGAATCTCCAGCTGAGGCAGGCGGATCTGGGTGTCAGATGTTTTGACTACGAACCACGAGGGCTTCAGGAGGAAGTAACATGAAACGCCATCTTGCCGAGTCTACGTACCGTGTCAGAGACTCCCGTGGTCAGATCAGGAATGTCAGGTCCTCGGACCTTCCTTGGTACTGGAACTGATGAAACAGTGTTGCAGCACGACAAAACGTAGCATATAACATGATAAAGTAATAGGACTTTGAGGTGTGGTTGGTATGCATGCTGTAATTAGAAAAACGTCATTTAGATACAGGATTAATTTAGAATATGCAAATAAAGGCTCTGTTGGCACAACACAACAGAATATTTTGTGAAAATGTGTTTAAAACAAAACTATTGGTCTTTAATGTCTTCGATGTGGGATTGGTTCTCTGTAGCAACTGTAACTATAGCAACTGAGGATCCTTCCCTGTACAATAATAAAATAATAAGAATCAGAATGGGTTTGGTATTAAAAGGTTCAAACTGTGTGCCTGTGTGACTGAAGATGGGCGGACGAAGCAGCACTGAAGCACAAATAACATCTCCTGCATAAAATAGTTGAGGCTTTTTTTAGTGTTCTGTTTTTCTTTTGTGTGGTTTTTACCTGTGGTGCTGCACAACCTGCAGACAAAAATAATCAAGTAAACAAAACGAAGAAACATGAAAAAAGGACATTTTAGAAAAACACTACGTTTTCATGTTTCAGTTGTTCTTGTGCCGAAACCTTGAGCAGCATCTGAGCTTGTTTTTCCAAGTTTTTAGAGATATTTATCGTTGTTAATATAGTTTACCTTATCCATCACACCGCTCTGCTCTCTGTCTTTGGGGCTCAGATGCAGGCATCCACCGGTCCACAAGGGACACATGTAAGAGATTTTAGTTTCCACCTCAGACAGGCACTCATGGATGGTTCAATGCTCATTGTGCTCACAGGAACAAATACGTTGCTGGATGCTGTTTAATTCAGCTGCAATATAGCAGTAATGTTGTTAGACATTTAGCATAGCAATTATTTTTCCTAATTTGCTGGTTATGTGGGTTTTAATGCATTTTACTTTAATATGTTTTCTGTTCCAGGAAAACAGTTTATTTCATTTAAAAATGCTTGAGTTTACTTCACTTATAAATGAACCGGTCTTTGTGTTTTGTTTTATGGTCAGTTCAATGTGACTATTAAATATGCCACTATATACGCTGCAATGAAATGGAGATAGTAGCTGTTTTACTTGCAATCACTTTAAATAATACAATGAGATACCATTAGTATAAATGTGAGTTTCAAGATCTCGTGAAATTTTTTTTTAGCTATTTTACAATATTTATTTGGGCAGTTTTCGGTTCATCATAATTCAAGTGTTTTATTGTGACTCCACTTGTGTTTGAAATGCTGTGGATCAAATTTTTATTCCTCCCAACCAGAACAAAAGAAAAAGGGACAAGGACACGCCAATAAAATGATAAATTAGCCTGTCTTACCTTCATGAAGTTTGTGTAATACTTGAGTTGTAAAAAATGGTTGTAGCATAAAATTGTCTGGACCAAATGTTGTTTAGTCATAACATGCTAGCACGGTCATGAAGCTTAATATGTTTCATAACAATCTGAGAGATGATTTTGGTACAAATCAAGGCTCCAGGTTCATTGCACAAGTTAATAAATGGGACTAAAAGATTTAAAGATGAGGGGGGGAAGCTTTTAGCTGTTTAAAATGGAAGAAAATGACGTGTAGAAATAAAAGTCAAAACAGATGAATAATAAAATGCCTAATTTGTTTTTGTTTTATTATATAAAATGCCTTGGTTATTAATAGTAGGATTTAATTTACTGTGAAGGCGAGCACAAATATACCTCAATTGTCAAAACAATATTTTTAAGAAGCTGCAGACCCTCATTCTAAAGATGCAGGAGAAACACAAATTCACTGTTCGTCACTAGATGACGCTGTTTCCCCTAATCTTCAGATGCATCCACTGATTGACAGCAAATACTTCCCGCCTACTTCGTTAACCATCCAATCAGAAAGGACGCTGATTTGTTGACGTGCGTGTCCTGACAGCGGAAACGAAATATTCGGGAGAGATCAATCGTCTGCTAGCAACCAATTTAACAAGGTACACTTTATGATCACAGAGGTGTATTTTAGAACTTTTGTCATAGGATATTTGTCCGTGTTGTTTTAATTGCTTATTGGTGCACGGTGGCTGTACAATTCAATTGTTATAAACATTTTAAAATGCAATAAGGCCTAACGTCAATGGTCAAGCGATAGCTATTAGCAACCTAGCTAGCATGGCACGTTATTAAGCTTGAAAACCGCTAACGCGAATGTGAATACGAATAACAAGTTAAAAGCGTCAAGAATCTGCAGCAGACGGGATGCGTTCTAAGTTCAGCACAGTTATATTGTCTGCATTAGTGTTGTTAACAGATAAGGCAGTTAGCTCAATGTGCCGGTTTATTTAGCAGTGTAGCTAACGAAATAAACGGCTGGTGTATTGTTTTAGGTTGCAATGTACGCTTCAAATAATAAAAATACTTATTTTATATCAAGTCAAGTCTAAGTTAATTTTGTAAAACAGTTAGTTGATTAATGTGCTTCACAGAATAAAGAATGCTTCAGAAAAAGTGGCAACAAAAACAAAACATTAAAATATCGTGAGAAATAATACATTTGTATTAAAATGTATTGTCCAAACTAAGGTTAAGAATGAATGGATTTTGAGTTGTATTTTTATGTTCAATAGCTGAGTATGAGTGGCAGATGACATCTGTAAGGTAGGCTGTCAGTTTTGTTTTTGAGCCTGCGTCACAGAATTATCACAAACAGCTAATTTGTAGTGCGTTGGTTGTAATGTTAATTATTTAAAAAATGTAAACGTATTGCATGCTATTTAAAGTAATTCGGTTTATTTAAATAGTAAACAAGGCATTTCAAGGCACTAATACAGAGCAACAAGTATCATTCATGCCAGGTCCACACTCCTGCAAGTAATTCCCATGGCAGTTTTTTCTACAAGCTGGATGTTTGAATTTTTTTGCTGTAGTTGGCTTATTCACTAATACATTTATCTTTAATAGTCATCTTGATTTTTATTTGTTTCTCTCCAGGCCAAGCTACTCAGGGTGAATTTTAGGGTATTATTCACGTATTTATTTATTACTACTGTAATGGAAATAGTCCAACAACCAAGAACATGTATTTCTATACTTTAAACCCACAGCTTTAAGAAAGAAAAAGTTGCTGCTGAAGTTGACAGAACAATTAGAGGTTAAAAAAAAATTCAATAAGGAGCCTAGGTCACGCCTGTCTATTTCCGGACCTTGGGTCCCCGGAAGAATGAAAACATGAATGCGAGTCAGTGGGGCTAAAAACGTTATTTTCTAGTTCAGCTTGTTATGTGCCATGGATTTCACATATGATCATGAATTTTAAAGACACATTTTGATACCAAGAAAATGCTTATTTTCAAACGAGGGGAAATTCTATTTTAGGTTTTGTGTGAAAATAAGTCCAGGACTACAAATGCGCTTCAGAAAAGAGACGTCATCGAACCAGACACGGAGAAAAACCGTGTTAATGTAAGTTCAGCAAACTTCAAATCCTTCCCACATGAGGAAAGAACCACCATCAATCTGGCCATTTGGGAAGTAGCAGCAACGCTAGGGGGAGAGGAGATTATGTGGTGACTTATGTGACATATGTGTGCCGATGTAGTCGTGCTAATTACGAACATTTACAAGCTGATAAATCTCAAAGTACGTTGACTGGCGTGGTCGAAACACCCATCATTAGTTTTTGTTTAAATTGCATTAAAACCAATGTGCGATCCACTGCGTACAGCAAAGTGGATTAGAAAATAGCTCTTTCAGCCCCGTTGACTTGCATTCATTTTTACGTTCTTCCGGGGAGCGGCGGGGACCCATAAGCCGAATGGAAAGGGAGGAGACTTAGGCTCCCTATATTAGTCTGGTCTTCTTATTGATGCCATCAGGAGTTTTAAAACTTGTTACCAGAGTCAGAAATGATTATTCTGACTTTCACATTTTGTTTATTTTCATCCATTTCCTTTACTAGATTATGCATAAAGTCTGTGCAAATAATATTTGTCTATGCCTTTTCCCCCCCAAACATCCACAGTTGAAGACTGTTTTGCTTTGGGCTAATAATAAATCTGCACTCCTGATTAGTATTTCTTACTAATTTGTTGACTTCAAATAGCTGATTTTTGTCTCGCGTTCATTGTTCTAACTGCTTGTTGGTCTGCAGATCTGTTTTAGTGGGTGGTGCAGGCCAAAGTAACACCTGCTTTACTTCCAGGACATCTGGATAGAAAATGTTTTTGCTGCAGAATGATTTATATCCTTAAATAAATAGTTTTATTCTATTGAAATTTAACAATGACTGTATCTTATTTGTGCTGTTCACATGTAGTTTCTCTATTAAACTAGTTTTAATATGATTTGTTCTTAAAAAACTTCATCATTTAAATCTTGTTCTAAAATGTTTCAATGTAGAGCTTGAGGTCCTTTTCGTCCTACATAGGAAACAAGTGAGATATTTGCAAGAGTGAGATCTTTGTAAAATTGTGTAAACTCTGAAATTATGACATTATTTTAGTTTAATTTTATTTAATGAGAAAACAAAACAATAATATAGGACTCTTCAAATCACTGCCTGTACCAAAAAAGGCACCACTTAGATTTTACATATTTCCCAAATGACAATGCCACGATTCTGTGAGCTCAAATTGTTAGAAGGGTTCTGGGAGTATGAAACAAAATTTTCACACGGAGAAAAAATACAAAGATGGCAGTGGCCCTGGAACAGTGCTCGTTTGAAACGGCTTTGGCTGCTTCTTCTTTGACGGTTTATGGCAGACTGCCTCGTTGACTAATTTCCTTCGCAATAATACGTCACATTGTTCATTGCTCTGATTGGTCCTAGTGCTGTCCATTTGTGTATGGAGACAGTTTGTAAGACAACTGCGGATTCCGACCCATGACTGAGTAGTTTCAGTGGCTTGTGGCCAACTACATATTTACACATTGGATGGATAACCAGGATAATTCTTCCTATTATCTCCACAAGATCTTGGTGAGACGTTAATGCAAAGCTGGGCTGAAATGAATGTTGTGACATTGCAGAAGCATAGTGAAACACTGCCATGGCGAAGACACACCATAAACCAATGTCCAATGAAATATTAAAGGTCAGCTTTACTCATTTTTAATACATTTGTAGTGGTCTCTGGTAGGGGTGGGCAATATAAACGATATAAGGTAGAAACGATATAAAATTGGGTAATGATAGTTTTTGGCTATACCGCAATATCGCGATAACACATGACGTCCCTAATCCCGGGTTTCCACGGGAGCCGTCAGCAGCACGTTACTGCAGCAGCACGTCATAGCTGCTGATAGGAACCGCTGTGGTCAACAGAACCTTTTCCACTGGAGCCGTCAGCAGCGTGAGTCGGCCGCGTCTCAGGAGCAGCATGTCGCGGCCTTTACGCGCCGGTTCTATTTTCTACGCGCGACGCCTCTGAAACGGGTCGAGTTCGACATTTTTGGGGAAGGAAAGACAGGAAATCGGATGCGGAAATGGAGAGAAGCTCCCGAGATTTTCAGAATAAAAAACGTGCTGCCTTCCGGTTGCTTTACTTTTAAAAAACGTTACTAACTGTGCGGCCCCGTGAGAAGTTATCACCTAGCTAGCGGTCTCCTTTGTTTTTCAGGTCCGTATTGGCGATTATAAAACGGACAGAACATAAAACACAAACCTTTTGGTAGTTTTCTCCTGCTTGTTGTTGTGTTTACTGACGAAGTCACTCGTGTGACTTCGTGCTCGGTCGGTGACAGCTGCTCCCCTGCTGCTTCGCGTCTCGTGGGAAGGGCCAAGCAGCAGCTTACGCGAGCAAGACGTGCTGCTGCAGTAACGTGCTGCTGACGGCTCCCGTGGAAACCCGGGGTAAGATGTGCACCCTGCTGACATTGGGACAACAGAATGGCAGTGACTGCAAGCATGGTGTGGGTGGAGGAGGGCCTATATGCCTCAAGTGGCATATATTTGCCACATGAGGATATTTAAAAGCATGTCATTTTGACATATATAAACAGAGGAAAAAATATATCTCAATATATGTCGTTACCACACATGCTTCAGATTATATCGCAATATAGATTTGAGGCCATGTCGCCCAGCCCTAGTCTCTAGTAGGAATGAATGCCTTGTAAGTTGTTCTCTGGGGGAAAAGCTCCGGTGCACCTGTTAGAGGACGTAAAAGTCAGCCAGGGGAGAAAGTGGCAGAGGACAGCAGGTTTTGGGGTCCTTTTTCCGGATATTTAGACATCTCACCTCTGATTTGCTAACAGCAACTCAACTCTTCCACTGACTCTGTCTGCTCTGCAATGTTTTATCTCCAAAAATAACACAAGCCTGAAGGAGTTGTGCCGTGTGGTGGAGTTGTTGTTGCTAACAGTTAGCTTCTACTAGTCGAGACGTTCTCTGTTTACTGGACGCTAAACCAACAACAGCCTTCCCCATTGTGACTCAAGTTGGGTGAGTCCATGACTGTTAGATGCCATTGTGACGTAGATCTGTCAGGCTTTTCTGAACCAAGAGTTTCGCTGTCAATTTTCTATCAGAAGCTAATGCAGGAGATGGGGTAGAAGACTATGTTCACCTTCAGCCTGCATCACAAACCCAGTGACTGTTTTAAAAAACAATAAGTAAAAATGGGTTTTCAGTGAACCTTGCTCTAACAAGATTTTAATATTTTGGGGGAACGAGTAGTGTATATTGCATGGACCTGGAGGGCCAGTGTCCAGCACATTTTAGTTGTTTCTGTGCTCCAACACACTTGATTCAGTGGTTGAATCACCTGTGCAGCAGCTCATCAAGCATTGCAAAAGCTTGATGAGCTGCTGATTGAAGTCAGGTGTGTGGAAATAGTTAAAACTAAAAACTGATTATATCGCAATGACTGCATTAGCTGCTTCAAAACTTACCCATTTTCAATGATTAGTTTGTTTTTATGTCCTACTTCTGAATTTAATTCATAGGATGTGTTGGGAACATTACCCATTTTTCCTTGTCGTAAGGAAATCTGCTAAATTCATACATTTTTCAAAATTGTGCATCCACTTTTTTCCTTTTAAATGAGTAGAACTAAACCCAATGCAAAAGCATCAGTCTCAGAGATTACCTTTTAAAAACACCTCGAGTTTTCTGAGACTGCTGCTGAAACACACCGTGGGATGTGGGTTAATTTACTTACCTGCAACACATGTTTGATCATCTGTTCGGCTTGCCTGGGAATATGCTCTTTGGCCCTCTTTGATGGTGATCCAGAGGGACATGTGGAAGTTGTGCAAGTGTGCATCAAAAAGCATCAGATTCATGATGATACATTATATGTGTGCCATCAACAGTGGCTGAGATGAATGAAAAACAAAGAAGATGAGTTTTATCTCCAGTGGGCTTTCACACTCTCTCTTGCATTAATTTTAGGAAGTAGCCTCAGGTAATGGAGCCACCCTGATGCAATCTCAATGATTTTATCTTTCGCCTGAAATACTTACTTTCCTTGCTTCCCAGAAATTGCTGAGATCAAAGATCTGAAAATATCCAAACAAAGTCGAAGGAACTCCTTCTCACTCTGATGTTTGTCAGTTTAGACATTTAAGGGAGAAAGCAGCTTTAAAGATGTCAGTCATTGTTTTATTTATATATTTGTTTGTAAGTAGAAGTAGACCTGCAGAGTGTTGAATATTTTGGTGTGAGATGGCAACATCAGGGGATGGTCGTTTGTATTTGTTTTCTGGTTCTTTGTCATTTTTAGATATTTGCTTGAGGCAGCATCATTTCACTGCTGAGGTAATTATTCTGGTTTTGCCTTCAGCCCCATTTCCATCATTTTTCTTTTCTGTGAATGAGTTGATGAATATACATGCTCTGCTCTCTCATTACACTTGTTGCCCTGAGTGTTGTTGCTCTTCGGGTAGCCTTGGCTGTGAGACAGCCGTACAGGTACCTGCCTGGAGCTTGTGGAGTCTGAAGGGTTTGCAGTAATTTCCTTGTTCCTCTCCATGAGCCATTTGGGATATCGATGGGCAAACGGTTGTGTTCCTACTATTGTTGGAGCGACTGTGCCCAAGCTTTCACACAAACTCATCAGGTTTCACGCTTCAGTCGAGTAGGCAGCGATAATGTGCTAGCAAGCTGGCTTGTTGACTGCCTATTTAACCCTCCTACTGTCCTAATGGGTGTGACCCCACGAGGAAAGTTGGGGTTGATGGTTTATCCCTTGAGGACCATGTGGCAGGGGTGAGGAGTGAGCACCACATCACCCCTGCCACATGGACCTCAAGGGATAAACCATCAATCCTGCTCAATGGTCAACTTTCCTCGCGGGGTCACCCATTAGGACAGTGGGAGGGTTAATAAAAAAGAAGTTTAGGTAATTTATCGATTAGGGCTGCAACTAACGGCAATTTTAATAGTCGACCGACTATTGAAACGATTAGTTGACTAATCGGATAATTATTAGATTTTTCTTAAATTTAGCATGAGATTGCTTTAATTATGTGAAAAATGATAATAAACACAAGAAGCATGGGGACTTCTATGGAAAATGCATATTTTATTGAATTTTGCTGCTGATAGGCCAATTCATACTAAAAGTAAATAAAAATGCTCTGTCTAACACCAATTAGGCACAGTGCTCAGCCAGTATAGACATAAATGCATGAATAAAATTAAAATACTTTTTTCAGGCACAGTCAGGCATAACATTAAATTTCTCTTTTTTTTAAAAAAAAGCGAAAATACGTTTAAATAAATGTACATCCAAAACAAAACATATTGGCTTTCGTGTTATTTAAATCTTACCGAGGCGAGTCAGACTCTGTTTCATTCAACTGTCCGACGTGCTTTCTCGTAAGTGTTCATGCATCACCGAGGTGCTGCCGTGATATGCGAGGACTGCTTTGCAAATAATGCAGGTCATCTTTTTATTCGCCGAATCCAGGCTAGAATGCTCCCAAACGTTTGATGTTTTGGTACGCGTAGCTGCTGTGTTGGACGCCGCCATTTCTGGTAGTTTTTCTTCTTCTTCAATGAATTAGGCAGGCTGGTGGACACCTAAAAGGCGTATTGTTGCCACAACAACCACCCCCACCACCGAGTCTGCACAACCCACCACACACAACAAGCACACGAACCCCCCACCCTGTACACCACCCAACCACTGCCAATACAACCCCCCACCAACACACACCCTCGTAAACATACCCATACCCCACAGGGAGGCTCACCCCACGCTCATTCCCCCTCCCTCATCATCATCACCCACCACCTTGGTGGCTATCTCCAGCGGTCAACGGGCAGTCAGGCGGGGTACACCCTGGACAGAGAGCCAGTCCATCGCAGGGCAACACAGAGACACACAGGACAAACAATCATGCACACACACACACTCACACCTAGGGTCGTCACGGTGTGAAAATTTAACCTCACAGTTATTGTGACCAAAATTATCACGGTTTTCGGTATTATCGCAGTATTTTTTTAAAAGTGTTACATTTTCAGACAACTAAATAAACCCTGAATATCAGGAAATATTGTCCTCAGTTTGTGTCTAAATTCTGCCTAAAATGTGTTATTTTGTAATTATGTTGTTTATTTGTTTACATTTTTCCCCTTTAGTCTTTAAAATACCCATATTTGCCCATAACTTCTTTTTTATGTCTTTTTGATGTCATCATTTTAATAATATTAGATCAGATGATACTCAGTACTCAAGTAGCCTTCTAATCAGGCCTAATTGTTGTTTGCAACCAAAACTTTCTTGAAGCTAAAGCTGAAATAACGGCCAAAGGAGGAGACGGCAGCGCTCAGCACATTTATTATCCCTCAAAGAAGACAAAGTGGGAAGTACGGGCATATTTTGGATATTTGAAGAATGCTGAGGGACAGTTGATAGAAGACGGCTATCCTGTTTGCAGCACGCGCAGAAAAAGTGTCTGTGAAAGGCAGCAACGCTTCAAATCTCATGACACATCTGCGTGACCATCACCCACAACTCTACAGTCGACGCAAGGCAAGCTAACGTTAGCGTTTTAGCTAAAATGCGTGATCCGAGGATTTGGGTTGAGAGAGAAGGCAACGAGTCGCTATATAAAGCAGCCGCAGCGCCGCTACCTGCATATAAACCGTGTCATGGACACCGCCATGTTGAAATGATGCGATGCATTACGGGGCTCCCAGGGGCAGATAAGAGTTGGTCTCTCTCCGAGAATAATTATGAATTTAACAACGATTACTGCCTGATGACATTTTCCCACATCTGCAAAGCTCACTGGAAGGACACAAACCGAGGACAATATTTTCCTGATATAGGGTTTATTACTCAAGTAAGGGTAAAAAAGTATCTGATTAGAAGGCTACTTGAGTACTGAGTATCATCTGATCTAATATTTTTAAAATGATGACATCAAACAGACAAAAAATAAGAAGTGATGGACAAATATTGGTATTTTAAAGACTAAATGGGAAAAATTTAAACAAATAAACAACATAATTACAAAATAACACATTTTAGGCTAAATTTAGACACAAACTGAGGACAATATTTTCCTGATATACAGGGTTTATTTAGTTGTCTGAAAATGTAACATGTTTAAAAAAATACCACGATAATACAGAAAACCGTGATAATTTTTATCACAATAACAGTGAGGTTACATTTTCACACCGTGACGACCCTAGGCATGCATAGTCTGTGAAATTCTGGAGAGTCAGTCAGAAGAACAGGGACAGACGTTGAAATTTACATCACAAAGGATGTGCGTACACAGCTGAGCTGATGAGAGACGGTACTTTTTGTCTTGTGATTTGTCTTGTCTAATACATCCATCACTTGTTACCTGTATCCCCAGTCTTCAGATGGAGGTGGAGCAGCTTCTGTCTCTGTCGGGTTCTGCTCTGGCCCAGGCTGTCAGCTCTCTGCTGGAGACCCCGGGCCTCTACGTTTTCTCTGATATCCTGGAGCTGCCTAATGTCAGAGAGGTAAATATACTACTAACATATGGGATTAGCAAATGCATCAAATTCTGTTGATCAGGCGACCAAATCATTTAGTCCCATTCACTGCAATTGATGAGTAAAAGTCATCAAGCTTTTTTATTTTTATTTTTTATTTATTAACATATTTTGAGAGGATAAACCACCATCTCGTTAACAATTGGGTCCTCTATACACATCAAAACAAATAGTAAACCAAGACAGGAAACAGTATTTCAGTGCCACTCATTGAAACCACAATAATAATAATAAAAAATTATATTAACAATAATAAAAATAATAAGATAAACACGAAATAAAGATGAAAGTAAAAAATCTAAATCAAAAACATTTACAGGTGGGTATTAAAAGGCCAGCATTCCTGACTCTGATTTAAGATCAGCAGATCATATTGGGCCAGACAGGAAGTCAAACACGAGCAGTGTAAAACATCCAGTAACTTTCAAAATAAAAGTCACATGCAGATTTCCTGTTTCTTAAAGTGACTGTGTGTATTTTGCCTGGCAATACCTAAATCATTCAAAGGAAGCTGTATTTTTGTATTAGAGTAAGACCGTACCAACGGGTGGCCATTAGGGTCAAAAATACCTCGCAGTGCAACCTCATCCTTTCATCACTGGCAATGAGTGAGGAGTTGATGTTTTAAAAAAAGCATTTATGAATGGCGAGAGTTTAGTAACCGCTTGTTACAAGTCAGTAAACGCATTTTGTCCTCACAGCCTCCCGTAGAAGGAAACATGGCATCACCCAGAGGCTTAGACCCGCTCCCATGTATTTTTATGGTTGTATATTACAAAGCCACCAACAGTTTTCAACCACTGAGCATCATTCAATTAATTTTCATCAACATTTCGACGGAGGATTCCTGAGACCAATGGTAAAAACTACACATTGTCTCTAACTAGTAAAGACAAAAATACGTCAAAACCTGTGAAACCTCCGTAGCCGAGGGAATCAACCACAGACCTTTTTTGGATATGTGCTGTCGTTAGTCATTGCATGAGCTGGTGAAGTCGATGGTGAAATCATGTGTGCACTTGTAAATCTCCCGTGATGTCGTGACTTTGCAGGACTGGCGGCGTGGAACGCTTCTGCTGCCGTTTGCGTCTGGGAAGCTGCTGATCTCGTGTCTATCACTTTACGCGACACATGCGCGTTCGGTGGAAAGGCCCGGGAAACCAAACCAAACTGAAACAAATGAATTACGTACTCTATCCATGTGGACGTTTGTTTTATTTTTGTTCTTAAACCTTTTATCTGTCACTGATTTTAGAAGCATCGCCACATTCAGGCGTTTAAAGTATTTCATATGTTAACTTGGCTCAGTCCGTAGTTACTGCTAATTACTGTTTTGGGAATGAAACGGAAGAAAATCTGAACAGAAACGGAGAACATTTCAGACCAGTTGTGATGTTTGCCAAGGGTTTGAAGCACTTTTCTGAACCAAACTGTGAAATTGCATTTGTTCTCATTTGCTAAATGAGTTTTATGTGGTTTCTCGGTGATGAAATGGAACACAAGCATCACTTGAGAAAATTGGAAACAATATTGTGAAATCAAACATACGAGGAAAGCGGCTATAAAATTTCTAGCTCACAGAAAAACAGAAGTCGGTTTCAAATTGAGTGAATAAAAATAGAATAAAAAAGCCGATCTGCATCATGTTCATTTAGTCACTCTGTTGGACGTTTTCGTACACGTGATCCTCTTTTGTTTCTCCTAAAGAAACCCACGAAATGCTGCTTTGAATTAAGAATTACGTCTTCCAAATAAAAGAGCTTTGATGTAACAAAAAGCTTTTTAAACATGAGGGAGGCTTTATCTCATCTATAGATCTTTTTGTTCTTTTTCTTTGGATTAGTTTATAATAATAGCTAATTATGATTTTTCCTGATGGAGCAGATCTAGTTTAAAAGGAGATTTACTTAATCGTTTTTATTTTTTGTTCACTTGTCAAATCCTGTTTACAATTATAGAAGTCGGACTAATTACAGCTTGGCCCATAAACACCTGGCCACACGGGGGGGGGAGCAGGAAGAAGACATTTCCCGTGTCTGGCGGGACTCAAGCACACCCCAGGTGTGTTTTCTGACAGGCAAAACAATTAGCAATTAAAGCTGCAAGCAGCGTCGTTCGGCCCTCGCAGCTCCGCGCCGCTCCGGCCTGGCCGGCAGCCCGGGGCACCAGGGCACGTCTGCGGAAAAGAAATGTTAACCACCCCGACACCAGAAACAGCTAATCGTCACCTCGTCCGCACCTCACCCTGACTGAGCATCCCCTCTGAGCACTCACAGTTTTTGGTGAAGTTACGACCTCGTCTGTAGGAGTTATTACAGTTTTAATGGTGTGTAGGGGGCGCTGTGGTGTTATTATATGAATTTCACCAACCATTTGTATCTCATTGGCTAAAGGGCATGATTGTTGATTGCCATGTTCAGTCTCGTGCAGATGGGAGGCTGTTTGTGGAAGTTACGATCAAACGTAAGGTCATGGCGTCATGCCAGAAATCGCCATGGCATCAAAGCCGCTCCCTATCTGGAAAGCTATCAGATCTGAATGGCCATTGCAACATCATGAAGACAGTGCCTGTCCTTAGTGTCATGTTGACTAAATTAGAGGGGACAAATATGGGCATTTCACCATAAAACAATAGACTTCCTGTTGTCAGGGGGCGGGGCTTAGGTGATGTCACCTGTCCACAATGACGTCTTGAGATGTGGTCATTGATCACACAGACAAAGTTTGATATAGATTTGATCATGCACATTGGAGTTGTTAAGTCAAGTAATGTAATGGCGAAAGGTCAAAGTTTGAGGCTTAGCCACGTCCACAACATTATACTTATTTAAAATCCGACGGTTGAATTTTTTCCCCTTTGTCTTAAGAAAATATAACAGAAGGTTGAAGGTGATCGGTGAAAAGGGCGACGGGGTATCATTGTCCAAACAGCGTGTGTGAAAACCACTAAATCGAGTACTTGGACCAAAATGGCCGACTTCCTGTTCAACTTTGCACTTGGCTCCAAGAGACTTTTTTGTAGGTCCTGAGACACCACATTAGTGTACCAAATTTTGCCATCCTCAGTCAAAGCCTGGCTTGGGGCTGAAGGTTTTAATGGCCATAGGGGGCGCTATTTCAGAAAATAGGCCACGCCCACAAACTTCAGCCATTCATTTCTATTGGGGGTCAAACTAGGATCACTCAGAACAAATTTCGAGGTGATATCACTATAAATGAAGAAATGAGAGGCAAACGTATTTCCATGGCGTGATGGCGAATTTCGCCATCCTCCCAAAGCCCCGCCTTTTTTCAAAACCTTCCAGTACTGGAGACCAAGTGACCTCAACTTGTCTGCTGCTACTTACCAGAGATTCCTGATGATTGTGTAAAAGGATCCCAATAGGGAGCTGTGAAAAAAAGAGTGGTGTGGCGAAAGGTCAAAGTTTGAGGCTTAGCCACGCCCACACCTTTACACTTATTTAAAATCTGACGGTTGAATTTTTTCCTCTATGTCTTAAGAGTATATAGCAGATGTCTGAAGGCGATTGGTGAAAAGGGCGACGGAGCATCACTCTCCAAACAACGTGTGTGAAAACCACTAAATCGCGCACTTGGACCAAAATGGCCGACTTCCTGTGTGACTTTGCACTTGGCTCCAAGAGACTTTTTTGTATGTCCTGAGACCTCACATTAGTGTACCAAATTTCGTAATCCTCAGTCAAAGCATGGCTTGGGGCTGACAGTTTTAATGGTCCTAGGGGGCGCTAATACAGAAAATAGGCCACGCCCACAAACTTAAGCTGACCTTTTCTATTGGGGGTCAGACTAAGATCACTCACAACAATGGTCGAGGTGATATCACGATAAATGAAGAAATGAGAGGCAAACGTATTTCCATGGCGTGATGGCGAATTTCGCCATGCTCCCAAAGCCCCGCCTTTTTTCAAAACCTTCCAGTACTGGAGACCAAGTGACCTCAACTTGCCTGCTGCTATTTACCAGAGATTCCTGGTGATTGGGTAAAAGGAGTCCAATAGGGAGCTGTGAAAAAAAGAGTGGCGTGGCGAAAGGTCAAAGTTTGAGGCTTAGCCACGCCCACACCTTTATACTTATTTAAAATCCGACGGTTGAATTTTTTCCTCTATGTCTTAAGACTATATAGCAGAAGTTTGAAAGTGATTGGTGAAAAGGGCGACGGAGTATCACTCTCCAAACAACGTGTGTGAAAACCACTAAATCGCGCACTTGGACAGAAATGGCCGACTTCCTGTGCGACTTTGCACTTGGCTCCAAGAGACTTTTTTGTAGGTCCTGAGACACCACATTAGTGTACCAAATTTCGTAATCCTCAGTCAAAGCATGGCTTGGGGCTGACAGTTTTAATGGTCCTAGGGGGCGCTATTTCGGAAAATAGGCCACGCCCACCAGATGTTCACATCAGATCTTTTGGGGGGCCGGACTAGGATCACTCACAAGAAGTTTCGTGACGATATCTTTGGAAATGACGAAATGGGAGGCAAACGTAAGGCCACGGCGGTACGCCTGAATTCGCCGCGCCGCCACAGCCCCGCCCTCTGCCGAAAACTCCCATAAAGTGACGCCAAGCAACCCCCACTTGTCTTGAGTTACCAGCTACAAATTTGTGGTGATTAAGTGAAATGGGGCAATTTGGGACCTTTCACAGTAAAACTTGATCTTTTTGGTCCTGAGGGGGCGGGGCTTGTGTGATGTCATCATCCGACCATTCAATTTACTTTGTGGGTGGATGACGAATGACCACAGAAAGTTTGGTAACTCTATTCCATTCAGTTATGAAGTTATAGCAATTTAAATATTTTTGGCGAGTAGTCAAACTTCGAGGCCTGGCCCCGCCCCTTCAACATATACGAAAACTCAGAATTCTCATCTCATTTTGTTCGCCCATCCCTTCTTAGCAATTTTACACAATTTTTGAGACGATCGTGCGAAAAATGATCGAGCAATCC